CTTCTAAAGTCTTTTACGTTAAAAATGCGAACACTGCAAAGCCAAAAGTCAAAAAACAATCACACTGAAATCCTTTATTTTGCATTTTTTCTCCCACAGCATTATGATACAACCTTTAATTATATTGTCACCTGTATCTAAACCTGCCCATCCCACTCCAGATAACAGAAACCAGATACGTAGGGAGAAAGTCAAACAAACAAAATAACACAAAAAAACAAAAAAAGAGCCTTGCTAGGACTATTCATTCCTCAAGGGCTTTCCTGAACTCAGAATCACAATTAGGTATCCTGACACCCAGTTGAAATTTCAACGTCCCAGGAAAATAAGATTTAAAGCATACTGTCTTTTGTCTGTTCTTCTAGATGATAACAATAGTAAGAATCCCGTAAGTGTCACTGCTGCAAATTAATTTTTTTAAGTCAAGAATTAGGTAAACTACAACAACAAACTACCTAAGCTTTGCTACTGTTGGATGGGAATTCCACCAGCTTGCCAGTATTCTCTAATACTGTTGCATCCAATGATTTTAAAAAAGGTCAGAATATTGAACTTCAGCATCAAACATACATTTTGCATGTTTGGTAGAAGGTCTGCATTTACACAGGATCATCAACTAAAATTTCTGATGCCAAAACTCTGGATGTAAACAAGCAACTGCCATAAGCAGCATAAATAGAAATGTCTAGGAATTGCCAACCCATGGGAAAAAGGAAGGATTTTAAATGTTGTGACATTAATGAGGCATTCAGTAAGTAGCTCTAATTGGAAAGAGAGGAAGGCGGTTTTTGTTCTCCCCTCCAAAATCATATTCCTTGAATTACATGGAAAATATAAAACTTTTCTGAAGGAACAAGGAGTTGATTAAAAAATATGGAAGTACCTACAAGTTGCTTTTTCTTTCCATTCTATGGGAGAGGACAATAAAGTATTTAGCCTAGGAATACAATTCACAAGATTTAGGACAATAGTGGATTACACGGCGTCATGGTTTAAAACCAGCCAGCGACTAAGCACCACACAGCTGCTCACTCACTCCCCCACGGTGGGATGGGGGAGAGAATTGGAAGGGTGAAAGTGAGAAAACTCATGGGTTGAGATAAGAACAGTTTAACAACTGAAGTAAAATAAAATCGAATAGTAGTAGTAATAATAATAATAATACAATAATAATATACAAAGCAAGTGATACACTATACAACTGCTCACCATCCACCAATGGATGCCCAGCCTTTCCCTGAGCAGTGATCGCTGCCCCCCAGCCAACTCCCCCCAGTTTATATACTGAGCATGACGCCATACGGTATGGCATAGCCCTTTGGCCAGTCTGGGTCAGCTGTCCTGGCTGTGTCCCCTCCCAGCTTCTTGTGCACCTGGCAGAGCATCGGAAGCTGGAAAGTCCTTGACTGGTGTAAGCACTACTTAGCAACAACTAAAACATCAGTGTGTTATCAACATTATTCTCATCCTAAATCCAAACCACAGCACTATACCAGCTACTAGGAAGAAAATTAACTCTTATCCCAGCTGAAACCAGGACACATGGGTGGAAAAAGACTACTACAGAGGACTATCCCAGTTGAACAAAGGATTGGTTTTCTGTTAAAAACAATGGCTGTGATGTTATCACAGAGGAACATCTCACTAACAGGACCAACTGGTACAGTAACAACATCAGAGAAATAGGCCCCCATCACAGAAAAGTATCATTCCCCTCTCTTCTCCAAGTTATGACACATCACTTGTTCACTTGTGATAGATACGTCCATACTGTAGTCCCATAATCCTCACACTATTCCCATGACATTAACCAATACATCTCAATGTCTCTTTTGACATAGTGCCAAGTGGTAACCAAAACAAGGCTACTTAACATACACTTTTAAGTAGAGATGCTAACAAGCAATGAAACAGCCCTGTGGGGAGACAATGCTCTTGACTACCAGGCTATCTACTTGAAATGACAAGTCTGAGCTCACTGCTAAAGGGAACCATGGAGATTTTGCAGAAAGTTAGCCAAAGGGTTAATCGGAGGTTTGTTATGATTGGCTGATGTGGCCAAGGAAATCCATGATCATGGATCATTAGTGCAAGCCATGTGGCCCCATTTTTCTCCCATATACATCTGGATTTCCGATACATTCCATGATAGTTTGGATGATCTCGTTAAACGAATGGGTATTTCAAGGACAAACATAGGAAAGAACTATATGAGACAGAAGCAAATCTGTTCATTGCAGAGCCTTATAGTCAGGCAATTGGGATCTCACAAGTTTAGTGCAAGGTAAGTTTTGTAGGAAAGCATTATGAGAAAGGAATCTAGAGCAAACAGCTCTTTTGGCAGCTTATACATCTGCATTAACAGAGAAGAAATGATATCTTCGATAACCTGAATAGTTCCAGTATATAGGATGATTAAGACTCAGGGCATTTTTACAGTATCAAAGTGGATAGGAACCGCTGAGGATTTCACTGTGCAAATTAGAAAGGAGATATGGTTTTTAATATACTAGTGCCTGTTGATAATTCTGAGATTTCACACACTGAAACTAATGGGACTAATAAAAGGGTTTTGTAACAAGAGACCCGTTATATCTATGGCAACAGCAACTTGAATGAAGGAGTTATATCAGTGGTTAGAAACTTGGGGAGAAAAAGATGCCGCTACACGTACAGGATCTTATGTAACAACATGATTCAGTATGGGCACACAGGAGGCTGGCCTATGGCCATTTAAATAATGGGGATTTACTAGAGGGAAGGAACCTTCCTCTGCAATCTCAGTAGTCACTGCTTTAGACAGCCAAACAGTCAGAGCATCCCCAGTGCATAACCGCTCCCACCTGGCCAATAAGGAAGTCTTATGGCTTCCCGTTATTGGGCCAGCTGTGACATAGAGTACCCAGAAATGATCGTAAAAGTTTCTTCCACAGTTAGACACTTCTGGACAAAAGTTTGGAGAGTAGCATAAGAATGCAAGTATAAGACAGCTGGAAAACAGTGCAACATCTTCGGATGGTTTTCCCACAGAGCATGTTCTCACGTTCCAAATGTTGGCATTCGTAACAATTTTAGTTCCTGCCACTGGAGATGTGGACAGTATCACAATTATCCTCCAAGAGCTTAAAGCAGATGTAGAGGAGATGCTGACTTTGCTGGAAGAGATGAATCATAGAATCATTAAGGTTGGAAAGGACCTCTGAGATCATCGAGCCCAACCTGTTAACCTAACTGCCTGGCCCATGAGACAAAAGGAATCAGTAGCAAAGTTCAGTTAGCACATCCTAGGAATTCAGTGAGGGGCTGAACAGTTCCTCTCAAAAGAGAGGCTGTGAAGCTTTAGGAGCTCTGAATCACTAGTATCACTTGGAGAGCCGGCATTGCAGACCATAATGTAAACCACCACCCTGACTCTAAATAAACTCAAGCAAAACAAGTCCAAGAAGACGGTATATGTGTGCGAGTTGTCAAAATGCCCAGAGACTACCGATGAGCAGCCCAGGCAGCCATAAAAATAAGAGATAATCAGAGACTTAATATCTTGTGGCAAACCTATGATAGCAAGGTGGTTCAGTATGCAAAAATGACAATTAGATTGCATGTTTTGCTAAGAAAAGAAGAAGAAAAAAAAAAAAACACCAAACACAATAAAGCAAAAAGAGCTTTTGATTCAATCCTTTTTCCAAGAAGCCGTATTCCTTCTAAACTGGTCACAGTGAAATAAGAATGTGGCAACTAACAAAAATATTATATATGTGAATATACTGAAATATCTGGATAACCTGCAATCTCGATAAAAGTGATAAGATAAAGTGATATATCAGAATAAAAGGTAAATGGGGTAGAAAGGTCAAAGCACCACTTGTTCATATAAACAGCCATTAGTATACTCAAACATTTGAGTTTCCAAGAGACAGACATTACTATTAGAAGTGGCTGCCTGAGGATCATCAGAGAGTGAACAGGCTGAAACAAGAAGGTACTCATCATTCAGCAACATGATAACGAAGTGGGAGTACTGCCAGTTAAGATTAAGGGGAAGAAATACTGTAGAACGGAGTAGAGATAGTTGAGGAATGAGGGGTTTTGTCAGAGAGGATGCATCTAGTAATAGCAGGAATCATTCTGACATGGACTTGTTACACAGAACAAAGCTTATAGGTTATATGAAAAGAAGCTAAAAATGTCCCTGACTGACACTACGAAAAGAAATTATCTTCAACATCCTAATTCCTGTTCTAGGTTTTTTATACATTACTGTGATGATAAGATATTTTCTTGACGCTGGCACCTAGGAGGTCCTGAAAAGGATTTAGGTTTACACCACACCCATGAATTCCCCACTAATTAGTTCATGTGGCCTCATTTTGACAATAATTTAAGGCTTCTACCAAAAAACAAACACATTTTATGAACAGGAAAACAGTTGGTATGCAATTTATACTCAGGCTTTTGGCAGCAGATTGAAAGTTTTACATCATATACTATCCAGAGAGATTTGGCAAAGTGGACAGGATGAACACAGCTGTAAAAAATGAATTATCAGAAGCAAAACAGCTGAAATTAAATGCTTTCCATCTATTGTAAGTCCATTAGAACAATGACTGAAATAACTATGAATAACTCAATTTGCTGTAGCGCAGCAGCTCATAACAAAATTTCAGGATGGCAAAACTAAAACTGGTTTAACACAAAGGGTGATTTCACAGATCACAGAAAGGACACAGATCACTTCAGTGCTTTTTACAGAATAAATGCTTTACAGTCAGGAGCGAAAGTTTGTAATATTGGTCCTTCTTTATAGTTGAAATACCTTAAAAATAAGAGATGCTACGGGTATATACAAGTCAGCTGAAAATTCATCCAGGACAACCTAAACTACCATGAAGTGCTTCCCATTTGTTTCATGAATGTGACCTGTGAAATTGCAATCACCCATGCTACTTTGTGGAACTTTTTGCAAATTATGAGAATTCCTCTATGATGTCCTGCCCTTAACCATGGAATTCGTACAGCTGGTACTTCAGCATCCCCCAGCTGAAAATTTACTGGTAATTTGTCAATTCAGTGGACCCAGAGCTACTAAGCCGCTCTGGGAATGAGAATCTCTTACAATTACTAAGTGCCTTCTTTCTGGAGTGTCCATTGCTTGCACAAGGACTTCTTTCGTCCTCTGCACGAATAAATTAGGAGAACATGAAAGGAATGGGTTCAAGATGTTTTATCGGTTGTCCCACAGTTCAGTTAAGTTTTGCCAAAGTAATATCTAGCTAACATTAAAGAATCACTGAGTTTTTACTCTAAGTAATGTTACCACAGATGGAAATTACATAAGAATAATACTGAAAGGGCACAGACTGTTACTCAAACTAGTAGCTGTGATAGAGAACTATGTAGAATTCCACTAATGCTATTGCTGATAAACTTCTAAAGTAGTAGCTGCTGTGTTGTTAGTAGAACGTTATTGCAGTAGTTAAGGTTTACAGAGTCATTCTCTTTAAACATTTACCAATTCCGATTTTCCTCCCAAGAACAGGACTTTCCCAGAGTCAAAGCCCTTAAATACTTGCTGATTCAGCCTTTTGGTCTGAAATAGAGGAAACTGAACCAGTTACAATATTCTGGAATATTCTGGCAACCATGTTTGAATAAAATTTTTTAGCTATACATATATCAGTCCTACACGAGACAAAACATGAGGTATAGATAAAAATACAGAAGAAATTCAGACAACTAATGAAATCTATTTAATACCAGAAGTAATGAGAGAAGATTAAAAGTCAGTTGATAAATAAAAACAAGCTGAAGTGTAAATGCAAGTATGGCCGGCAAGGAGGGTAGCTGAAGACAGATGGAAAGTATATTAAGGAAGTAGGAGCAAAAATAGGTTCTTTAAAGAATACTGTTATTTACTGCATCCAGTGACTGCTATCCTTACTATTCACTGTATTTTTAACAGGTATGTTTAGTATAGGCTGACACACAAGTACACGGAGTTAGGCTACACACAGATTAGGTATTTATTTCAGAGCTGGCTTTTAGTGCTTGTTCTGATGCCCCTTGTGATACAGGAAATTATTCTGAGATGTTTTCCCAGCTTGAGCAATTATATAATTGCCTTCTGCATGTGAAAGGAGTACTGCATACCAATGAGGAAAAGACGTTGGGAACTGCTCCTATCAGAGTAAGTAAAAACATACTGATATTTGACAAATACGGATGTGTTGTGGTTTAACCCCAGCTTGCAAATAAGCACCACACAGCCGCTCGCTCACTCCCCCCTGGTGGCATGGGGGAGAGAATCGGAAGGGTGAAAATCAGAAAACTTGTGGGTTGAGATAAGCACAGTTTAATCATTGAAATAAAATAAAACATAATCATAGTAGTAGTAATGAAAAGGAAAACAATAAAAAAGAGAGAGAGAAACAAAACCCAGGAAAAAATAGTGATGCAACCGCTCTGGAACATCCCTTTGGTCACTTGGGGCCAGCTGTCTCTGCTGTGTCCCCTCCCAGCTTCTTGTGCATCCCCAGCCTACTCGCTGGTGGGGTGGTGTGAGAAGCAGAAAAGGCCTTGACTCTGTGTAAGCACTGCTCAGCGATAACAAAAACATCCCTGTGTTATCAACGCTGTTTCCAGCACAAATCCAAACCATAGCCCCATAGAAGCTACTGTGAAGAAACTTAATTCTACCCCAGCCAAAACCAGCACAGGATGACAGCCAGGACTTACTGTACTGTCAACCAAAATGAAGAGTCTGCTTAGCTGAAAAATGAAGACAGACTTCAAGGTCACAAATGAATTGGAGCAAGAATAACGTGAAAAAGAAGAGGGAGAGTCCACATCAACAACAACATCTGATTTACAGTTCCAAGCAAACACACAAGGAGAGATAACCCACTGTCAACTTCTGCAAGATCGGCATATTCACATTTGAAAAAGCTAGCAGGTACACTGGCTGCAAGGCTCTTCTGCACTGTGAGCTTCTGAAAGGTGGTTTTTTTTTGTAGTACTAGGGACTATCAGGCCTGTTACTGAAGATGACCTTTTTAAAGAGAGATGGCCTTTGAGCAAAGCAGCAGCATGCAGGTTGCATGTGAAGTGTCTGTTGTGACATTTTAAATTGTACATGAGAAAAAGGAAGAAGAAAAAAAAAAACAACCGATCTCAAACTTTGAAACCTGAACCAGGACAAATAAATCACAATTGCCAAGTACTAAATAATCAATAGTGTATTAAAATTAAGGAATCTATAGCTAGGTCCATCACCAGTTAGAAACAACTCTCTTGCACTGCATCGGATCAATTGTAAAAAAGTCACCCTTGGTTCTCTTTAGAGTTCAGCAGCTAGGAATACAAATTCTACTAGCAAGCCCATGTTCTGTAACACAGCTGAGCCAAACAGAGAATATTACGGAAGCTTGATCCTGGATATGGAGACTATAATGTTGAGGACTAGTAGACTCATATAGATACAAAGAAGCTACATGACAATGCCATAAATTCTACTTTCTCTCTGCAGGCAGAAGGTGACATGAGAAATCTGCAGGCCAGTGATCAGAAAACTGAAAACTCCGAGAATAAAAGTTACAATCTTATAAGAACTGACAGGGCTACAAAAATGTTTAATTATTACATCCAGTAAATGTTATATCTTCATTACCAAACTAATTTAAACAGACCTTTAGTATATGCAGGTAAATCCAAAATAAGCACATAAAGCTAAGCCTTTATATAGAGGTATGTATTACAGTTGACTCAATTTTAGCATCTTTTGTTCCAGAAAGTCTGCGTGAAAGGACAGGTTTTTGCATTTCTATCAAGTTTCCAGAACTGGAAGTTTCTTTCATGGCAGTTCATTTAAAATGTTCAGCTAGCTCTATACCAGAGTTCCTCATTGTTAATAATCTGGCTTTCATAATGCTTTTATGCAAACAGGTTGTCATATTTTACAGACAAGCAACTAAAATCCAGAAAAAACAGCTGTTAAAAATGTCAGGAGTTCACAATTGGAATATGCAGACCATGCTTTTTTTACTAAGTGCAATTCTTATAGCACTTAGTATGTTCTTAGCACAGCTTTAGCTAACCTGCAAATTCCCAACATAGTAAGAGTTGCCTTACACACTGCATTGCACCAAAAAAAAGAAAGGAGAAAAAAAAAGAAAAAAGGAAGAAATGCTTCTCAGTCACCTTCTGATCAAGATGAAGGAAATTTTTTGCCAAAATGAACTTCCCAAAAATTACACTTTTATGCTCTCATGAGCACAAGCACTACACTCACCATTACGTACTAGCACCTGCCTCTTCTCCAAGACCAAACTTCTTCCCTCCTGTTCTCTTTCGTTCAGTGGAAGACCAAATTCATTTCAGACTGGTGCAAGGTCTGCACTGAGCTCAAAGAGCAGTTTTGCCTGTGGATGAAATACAGAATGTTGTTCCTCATCTGTTCTTCAAAGAATTTCACCTGAAACTTGTGACAGATGAGACATTATTATCTGTCATTAGAAAGAAATCTAACCACAATTCCAAAACTGAAAGTAATGCCTGTATATACCCAGGTGGGAGGGAGCAGGGTGAAAGTTTAGCTCATTATGCACGGCTGCTGTTTAGCCTTCCCCATCTAACTGTCACCACCACAGGCTTTGGCCATGTAACAGTGCATGCACATAGACGTAAGTAATGTAACTGACTGCTGTTAGGCTAGGTGACATTTTAAGAGTGTATTAATGATGACAGAAATAAAAGCGAGAAAACCTTATCTTTTACCTTGGATTTACACGCATATACCAGTCATAGATCTAGAGTCAGCTTCATACATAGCCCTGCTGTGGTACCTAACGCCCCGCAAAAGAGCTGAGCCGCTAGTAAGCCACGTTACATTCCCGAATGCTTGTAACCCTAAGTTTTATAGGTTTCTTTCACCTGAGGCTGTAACGCCACCACCGGCACGGACGGCGCTACCGCCTTCACCTCACGAGCTCCGCCTGCCTCGCCAGAAAGGGGCGCTGGAGCAGGGGCGGGAGGCCGGG